GATGAGCCTGGAATCCCACAGACACTGGAATATGGCAGGAGGTTGGAACTATATGACCTTTAAGGTCCCTTCCAAACCATTATGGTTCTGCCTTGAGTCAAAAAAACTGAATGAAAGAAGCAGTAACATCACTGGTGTTACGTAAAGATCTGGCTGAATAGTCACTCACTATTCCAGGCAGGTGTGCCTGCTGCCCCAGCAGTTCATTTTTCTTTCACTAATACATATGAGGGGGGGAAAAAAAACCAACCACCCAACATACCAACCAACCAACCAACAAAAAATCCACAAAACATATGCTCACCTCGACTGTGTCATTTATTGAGTCAGCAGTGATGGCAAACAGGGAATGGTTCGGACTTACCGTCACAGACAAACCCCACCACCACATCCCAGGAAGTGTGCACATGGAGACAATGGGGTCACAAGTACACACACTGCTCCTGCTTGTCCCAGGAGCTCCATGGCTCTGCTTGACCCTTTCTGTTCTCCTGGCCATGTTTTGCCTTTGCAGCAGTGTGGCAACTCCCCGCTCGAGCAAAAGGACACTGCTTCACCAGGTGTAATTAGGCCTATAAAAAAACCCACCCCAGGCTTATTTATGACTTGCTAAATCACACGATTGAGATTTTGTGGAGTGCTGTGAGTCAGACACTTGGGAAGGCCTGACCAGCTCTTTCCTCAACATCTCAATGAGACATGTTTGTATGTTGTTCAGGTTTGTCCCTCAGTCAGCTGAATGCTCTGAGTTTGCTAAAAAAGCCTGGTACCTCATTTCAGCCAGCCAGAACCCTTGCAAACAATTTTGACTATGATGCAGAATTAAATAGGGCAGAATAAATAACAGTATATACATCAGGAAGCTGCTTTCTTGGAGGGGAGGGAGAGAAACAAAAATGCTCTTTGGCATCTTTGAAATCTGCCCTTTATTTTGCTTTTACCAAACCAGAAAGACATCCCGAGTATAAAACTTGCAAATGTTTCTGCTTTAACAGGATTACTTAACTATGGTAAGAACAACTGTTAAAGCTTGTTTTTATTGTCCAAGCAGACAATACATGTAATTCCTCCCACAGCAATTTTTCATGGGACTGCTTATGAGGGCAAGAATAGTTGAGGACAAGTACTTAATCATCTCTCTCCTATCTTGGTTTATCTAAGTGTTAACAGAAAAGGGTGAGAATTGAACCAAGGCACATCTCATACAAATTTTAACACAGATTAACGTCTCAGCAGAGGAACTAATAAAAAGAATTGCTCACCGTATTTACTCAATGCAAGTGAATTCTTGTTCTAGTTCATTTGTTCTTTCCTGACAAATACTTGCCATCCTGAATCATAATGAACACGAGGGCCCAAGCAGTTTGAAAGTAGCAGCATACTGTGCTGTCAGTCCAAATTCAACAGTTCTGGTTCTCAGACAATACTCACAACAGCTACAGAGAAAGGAAGATGACAAAACAACCAGTCGCAAAGCAGAGTGCACTTGGAATACATTCCTGAGGACAGTACTGTGAGCCATTGAGGAAATGTAGGTATAAGACACCTAAACCTTTTATTACAGCTTATTGCAAACTCATGGAGTGCTTGTGCAGATTAAAAGCATTAAGAGTGCGTGCATTTTTCACGGAAAAGTTTCCATCAGTTAAGATGCTAATGACGTGTGTCTGCTTGCAGCCAAAGAACGAGCACGTTCGTTCCCCCAGTTCTCAGTGACCCGGACTGCATTATAAAAATAAAAATCCTCTATAATTTACAAAATCATCAGGGTAGAACATGTATACCACAAGAAACAATAGCCAGATTATCCCTTCAAATTTGACTATAGCCTTTAAAAGAAAAAGAGTGGCTGGAATGTTTTTATGGAAAACCCATTTCAAGGTTCTCAGGAGAACCGAGCTGGAAAAAATCACCATGTAATGGGATAAACTATTACAATTTCAGGGCTGTAAGTGGCCAACATGATTTCTCAGTGCATGCTGCCAATAAAAGCAACCCTGCAACTCAAAGGGCAGGAGAAGAGTTAGAGGCAACAATATCTCTGTGTTCAAAAGTTAATAATTTACAACAACAAGAAATAAAGTGGCTGAGAGAAAGGTGATACAAAAAGACTAGAAAATGTAACACATTCCCTGTTTTTCAGAAGACCAACATCACTTTTGTTTCAAAATAGAAGTCTCAGCAAATTAGCCAAACATCCAGCAGGAGATCATGAGAAAACCTGGTGTCTTTCAGTGGAGCTGAGGAAGCAGGCTGTGGGAAACTTAAGACATACAGGGGAAGAAATTCTTATTCAAAGTAAAAATTATTTTAGGTCCTATTCGCTTTCTTTCAGAAACAGCAAACATGCAAAAGTGTCACTAATTACAACTGTCCATCACACAGAGCAGAGTCTCCAGCAATAGAGCAAGAGTTTCAAAATGAACAGAGCAGAAGCTTTAGTTGCATCATTATCCCTGGAGACTCTAACAATGCTGTAAGCAAGTTACAGCTATTTTCAATTCAACATCACATGCCAGAACCCATTTGAAACCAGATCTTGTCACAAAAGTGGAAATTCCTTATTAAAGATCTTGGCAAGTAACTTAAAAAGCGATTTTCAGTGAACAAGAACCTGCAGGATGAATCAAAACTTCAATAGCTTGCTGCAATAGATCAGCGTTCATCTAAACAGAGACATGCAAAATGGGCTCACAGGAAGGCTGTGGAGCAGAGGGATGGCTGGAGCAGAGGATGATAGGGCACACTGAGGTCACATGCTGCAGTTTATCAGCCCATGGTGCAGGCAGTGCCTGTGTCTCACAAGGCTCAGTGAACTGGTCCGAGCCCTTGTTTCACAATGTCAAGTTTAGAAACACGCTGCAAGTTCCAGTATCTGACCACATGGTCACCAATACAGCAAATCCTTCCCTTTCCCCAAACTCAGTAGGATCCTGGCAGCAGCAGCACAGGTTTGTCCCCAGTCTTGCCAAGCCAAGCCTCGGCAGCAGAGGCAGCAGCAGCAGCAGCAGGGCTGAAAGGCCAGTTCAGTGCAGCCTGGAGGCTGGTTGCTGCTGCCCATCCCCACTGCCCAAACAGCGCCTGCAATCACTGCCCCTCACCCTTCATCTCACACAGACTGAACACTGCCTGGCAGGAGGTGAGCAAAGGACACGAGAGGGGCTCCAAAGCTACAGCTTCAGAAAGCAAAGGAAGGGGAAGACTGCCCCATTGGCAGCAGAGAAGCCAGAGATTAGTGAAAGCTTTTCAGGGAACTTCACTCTTGGTGTGCAAAGGCCTAGTAACCTGATGACAATCAGCTGAGGTTTTAAGTCTTCACTTACCTGTATCTGGTTATAATTTGCATCACTCGGAAATTCCATGCTTCACACATGGCCTCAAAATGAGATCTGCTGTTCTCAAAATGGAGTTTGTGCCACATTTCCCAATATCTGTGGAGAGCTGGTCTCAGCACTGGCTCTTCTTTGTCAGCTAAGTTGCATTAAATATAATCTAAAAATATATTAAATATTTTCTAATATTACCTTTTGACATAAGCAGTTACTATAGCTGCCTCAAGGATGGTGCAAGGGAGGGCAAGAAGCTGCTTAACTCCTTTTATTCAGCTGGGATACGTGCACTGAAAGGTCAAAGGGCCTTGGAACAGGATTTTCTGTTTCAATGTTTGCCTCAGCATCAATACTTAATCAAAAATATCAAAACAGATTCAAGAATTCAAATGAGCAGATAATCTCCTTTTACTTCAAGGAGGCAACTAATTTAGCTTAGCTACAAAAATCTACCTGTAAATGCCAAGTTCAAGGAAATGCCACCTAATATTTGAGGATCTGTCAGACACCACTTGTCAAGAAAAAACAGCATCTGAGCAAGCTGTGGGTCTGTTGTGTAGTGAGAGGGCGTTCAATAGTACTGACAGCCCACTGAATACCGTGTGTTTATTATGTAGAAGTAGCTTTTTTATACCAATTGCACAGAGATGTAGCTCTCTTAAGAAACATCCACTTTGTGTTCAATTATTTACAAAGTACACAGAGGAGGCAGAGCAGTGCTGGAATAAAGGCAACCCAAGGCACTGGAAGATGTACAAGTGTTACTTCTTGCCCAACACAGAGATGGATGTGAATGAAAGCTTAATTCCCAATAACCCTGCTCTAGGAATCAACCCAAGCTTCCACCCAAACATACCAAGACAACTGATTTTAGAATTAGTCTCTTTGCTTGCTCCACTTGGCTACCTGAATTCTTGATTGACACTGCAGCCCTCATGTTTCTGAATAAATCCATGAAGTTCTTCAGTGTCTGCAAAGCGGTCTTTGAAAGTGAAGGAATAAATAAAAAACCATTACTTGATGGGAAAGCAAACAGTTGAAGGTGAATAACCATTCTCTGCACTTCTGCTATCACTCCTGCAAAGCTGCTGTGGCTGCTGTTGTGATGTGCTTCTGTTCTGCATCACTTCATTTGCTCAAGTACAAAACATGGATCATTGAATTAGTGAAATCTGCATCTCCAAAATAAAGTCTGTTCACTTTGTTGAAGAAACCAGTATTGTCTTCAAGTAATAAAACCAAACTGATCTGAAGTGCCAGTGGAAGAATTCACTCACTCACCTTCACCTAAGGAGCAGTTTGTTCAGCCCCTCTGTACATCCCTACTGTCTGGAGCAGCACAGTCTGATTCCAAGGAACATTAGGAGGATCCTTCCTGGACATTCCTCAGGAGAGGCTTGAGTTCATCTCTTACATACAGCACAGCTTTACTCTGCTGCTATAGCCTCCTCAGTTCCTTCCTGACACTAGTAAATCAACATACTGCTCGGTAATTAAATCAGCTCTAAGACCTCTGGATCTCATCTTGTACACACCAAATCCAAAACATTACTTGTGAAGATCCTGGCAGAAGGGAGTGCACAGCAACTCCTTGTTCCCATAGGAAGCTGACAAATATGAGCAAGTTATCAACATATTTCAGTTTCAAGCCAAGCAAAGAACATTTTCATGTTCACTTTTGTGCGGGGAGTTTTTATTTACCAACACTCCCTGAAACTACTTTTAATAACCCTGCATTTCCATCAGCATGTACAAGCACTGTTTGTGTTATACCATGAATAAATACAAAGAAAAAAGAGTTTTTCCCACAACAGCCTTGATGGGCTACTTTTAATTAAAATCAGTTTAATGATTGATAAGCTCTAGTATTTCCAGCAGCAAATCTTAAGTGGTTGACTGTTTCCAGATACAGTGAAAAAACTGAATAGAACTACATAAGCTAGCATAGTTAGTTTACTGGTTGTCAACATAGGAAAAACTGAGGGTTTAACACATAAATTGTCATGACCAAGAGCAAAAAACTAAGTGAGTATTTTGGAGGAATTAGAAAGTTCAGCTATATAAACTTATGGAATCATTGTTTCCAAGGCTTACTTTTAATCTCTCTCAAAATTACTTTTGACATACTTCCTACATCAGAAACCAATGAGCAGGAATTTTCAGTATCTGATTAGTATTTAGGAAGGGGATGTCCCATACATCATCTCAGTACAGTTGCTACTTTGAAAGGGTCTTTGCTCACGCCTCTCAAGCAAATGGAAGAACACTGCAAATACCTGTTGTTTCATGTCCTTCCTTTACTGCTTGGGCTTACAGAGGCAGCAGAAGGCAATTCCATGTTACTGGGCACACACCAATGAAGACATCTCCTCCTTATAGACACAAATCATCTGCAGCTGATCAGCCATACAACAAACCAAAGGTTCATTCATCACCACAGGGAAAACAGGAGTGAGTATAGGGAGTGTGAAATCCTAAAGCCCTACCGGAATCCTCCCCAGTCCTGCATGTGTCTTCCTCAGTCACTGCCATAAGGAATGCAGTGCTGTTCCAAACAGCTGCTGCATCCACCTGCCCTTGGTGGGAGGAGCAGACAACACACAGGAGGAAGCATTTCCTCTTTTGTACTTTTATTTTGTAGTAAGATCCATGTAGTATATAAAATATAACAGGAAAAACGGAACGGAGCCTGTAAAACGAACCGAGGAGTTCAGAGGACAAACCACTACAGTTCTACTTCTGTGGTTTCATGAAGTCTCCAGAACTCATGGACTGTTTGCTTGGACTATTACAGTTCTCTAGCGTATGAGCCTACATCAAAAGCTGATATGTTCCAATTAAGCCATAGTTAAGTGACAGATGTAGAAAAAAACAAAAACAGAATGGCTTTCTTAAGCCACAGCTGCCCTTGACAGAGGTTACAATGATGTCTAACTATACTGTAATGCACATTACATCAAGAACCTTGAAAGAGCCTCTGAAAAAACAGGTTCACATTAAGCATTTTAAAGAAAGGTCATAAATACTGCACTGTACCAACAGTACTTCCCAATGTCCTCCTCGTGCCTGAGGAGCATTTGTGTTTTGTAAGAAGCTACTACATAGATGACACCAAACCTAGAGGTAGGTTATAGGCCAAGGTAAGTTACAGGCAAAAAAAAAAAAAAATCCTTTTAGAGCTAATCACTGCACAAACTGCCCAGCAGGAAGCAAGGCAAAGTGTCAACAACTCTTTCCTCCCACCCTAGGCATTGCTCACACAGTGCACTTAATTCCTAGTGCCGTAAGAATGACAGTGGATCATCAGCTGCTAGTAAATGCAATCATGCCAAGAGAACAGCTTGAAGTTATTCAAGCAAAAACCGGTTACTGTGTAAAACTGGTGCACTGGACTGTTACCAACCAGACCTCCAAGCTTAGGAAGTGACCCAAGAGTAGAGAACCAAAATGTTTGGTTTTCTTTTGACTGGGAAATACTCCAGTAACCAACAGGAGAACACACTGCTAAGCCTACGCGGAAAGAGTCAAATATCAGCTTGTATCAAAAGGTTAGAGACCAAAAAAAAAAAAAAAAAAAAAAAGTTGAAGAAGGTTAAGAAAAGCACACTTTTCTGAGACCAGGTTTTAAAAAAGTTACTGTACCAAACAAGCCGCTGAAACAGCTCATCTTCGGTATCATTTGGGATCAACACAGGGTTGATAACAAATGTGTACACTGAGAAACATCTGCAAGTACAATAGTTAACAGCAAATTAACCCCAAGTGTTAATGGTGTAATGCCTTCAGGTCACAAAATGTGAACAAAAAGTTCACCTTAACTACCTTCTGTGCGCTATCTGGTGGTACTCAAAAGTAGCAATGCTGAAGATTCGTTTTATTTCTACTTCCAAAGGAAAAGGGGAAATGGTTAAATAAGCGTTCTCCAATTTGTTCTCCACTATACATACACCCACACACATACACACACCCCTCAAAATGCACTGACATTTCTTTTTTGACCAAAAGAGTAGATCCTGGGAGTAAGTGCAAAATGCAAAATCAACTGACAGAAAATGCTGAACAAACAGCATCATAAAAATACAAAATATTTATATTACTGAACTATTAACAGATGATGTTCTCTGTTTCTTTAAACTTTGGAACCACATAGCTGATTTCTTAAATCTAGTCCATGCCAGCTTCCAGAACTATTAATGTTTTAGTTAGCTTCATTCTTTGATGCTTCATCAAAATTTTCTACGAGATCTGAAAAAGATGAAGATATTTAATGCAGTAATGCCCAATAAGATTACCTTTAATGAAAATGCATATATTATAGGAGAGGTTAAGTAGTACTTAACTACACTCAGGGAAGTCATTTTCTTATGGGCAGATTTCAAAAGGCTTTAGAAAATATCATTTGTTTGGACATACACAAAGAACTAGAAACACAGGAACACTCAGACAGTGAAAATTCTAATATTAAGTGATTAAGATCTGATTTTCAGAGGTGCTCTATTAGCTGTAGTTAGGTTTCAAGCATCTGCATTCTTTAAAGAATGCCTGAAGTTTTAGAGAATTGAATTTTATGCAAGGTCACAAAGAAATAAAGCAGTGCCAAAGCACGAGGATTTGAACCTCTGATCCACAAGTGTGTTGTTTTAGCTAACACAGCATACTGACGGATACAGCAGAATGTGGTGATTAATAAGACAGTTATTCACTGTCATATTAAGAACTTACCATATTTTTTTTACTTTTAGATACTGACATAAGCTTTTTTTCTTCTACTATAGAAATAAAAATCCCCACTCCAGTCTCTGATTTGAAAACAACCCGATAACTATACCAATTGTGTCATTTTGCAGCCCTAAAACCCTGTTTGGATATTCAGATACCTGCTCAATCTCACTGAAGGTATTTTAACCTAGTTTCACTTAATAATTAAGATGTTTGCACAAAGTAAACCCTTTTTCAGATGCTGGACTTCAAAGCCATGTTTTAATGCTGCCCTATATATGAAGCCTCTCTTAGCAAGTGAGGAGTATAATCACACCAAGAGCTAAATATCTCAGTGTATGAATCAAAATATTTATACATTAAATGGACATAAAAGTGTGTATGTGCCTACCTGGGACATCATCATCTTCTTCATCAATATCTTCAGATTTTGGTGCTTTACTATCCAACACTGTAAAAAGAAACTTGGTGCTGAGTTCTCATGATACAGAATTAGGGACACTCACATGACACAATAAAAACCACACAGGTGAAAAAAGAAAGCATTTCCCCAATAGTGAAAAGCACACAAATGACCAGGTATTGACAGTTAACAGCATGACCAAAAGGCCTATGTGTGGACATTATTATGCCAAAGTATTGGCAGGGCCATTTTCAAATGCTATGGGGTAATTCATGCAGAGCTTGCAAAAGATCAAATGATATAGAAAACCCCCACTGTGACTAAATCTAACTGGTGTCATGTGTTTCAATGCAACAACAATGTGGTACCAATCAGTGACCAACATATCATAGGATTCAATTACCAAGGGGCCACAACTGTAGGAAAAAGTATTTCCATATCAGCTGTCCTGCATTAAACCTACTCTGTCAGTCACAGATCGTGCTCCAAGTAACCTAGAGAAATGAAAGAACTAGAAAAATAAAGTACTTTTTCCTCACTGTACTATCCAAAGAAAGCACAGCATGCATTGGTACTGAGGTTGCATCAAATGAAATATGCTTATGATTATCCACCCCTCTGAATTTTAAAAGGTATTTTACTTATCAATAAAGAAAAAGAAACCCTTTACTTTCACTTTAACTCTGAACATGAAACGTGGAAGAAGATGAAACTCATTTAGAAAGAATAACTATTTGCTGAAAACATTAGAACAGGTGATGTATAATCCAGTTACAAATACAGACTACTGCAATGTGTCCAACTACAGTCATCTTAATGGCCAGAAGAGTCTTAACTGGAATTGTCCCTAATCTTCATTTCTGAACTGTAAAATTACGTAATAATTATAGCACATATACACACACCCTCATGCTCCCAAGGTTTTAAAATAAATAGAAAAATCAAGAATCACAGTCAAAACTGTGATTTGATTTTTTAAATTTTCAATCAAAGCTCTCATTTTTAATTAGATTTCTTAAGTCCTGGTTGAATTCCAAAGGGAGCTGAGGAGTAGAAGAACATATTCCTTACTCTATAATCACAACAGAAATGTTTTGCAGGAACAAAGAAAACAGAGTCGATTCCCTGACAAAAAGAACCAGCTGAGTTTTTCCAAGTAAAAACGTGAACTTGCTTTCCTAAGTAGTCTCCCATACATAGTTGTACACCTGCAACAGCATGCCAGACTTACCTATTTTTTTAAATCAGGGCATGCCTATATAATCTTGAATCAACAAGAAAAGTTTTTCCCCCACCCTACACTTCCTCAACAGTGGCAAACATAAAGTAATCAAGGGTGTGTGCACTTTTATTAAAGTCATGTACTGTTGTTAAATTTGGGTTAAAACTTTTAAGTACTTCATATGTTCTTTAAACCAGCTATGAAAGACTCCAAAGGACCTACCTTGTCTTGGGAATTGTTCAGCTAACTTCCTGAGACTTGTTAAGCTGTCAGCACCAAGCTGGCTTAAGATGCCCGGAAGCATTTCTGTGATCGGTTTAGCCTCTGCATGACCAGTAATTGCAAAAGTGTTGGCAGACAGGGAAGCTTGAACCTTGGGGTTGTTGAAGTGAATAACTGTTCCATCGTCTTTTATCATGTTCACCTGTTTAAATATAGTAATAACATTTACCAAAGTGTTGCAGCATCTTGTTGGATGAGCGTGATCATTAAAATCCAGATTTAAAGTATTAAAATATAAAAAAATTACAAAGCTACCACTCCTCTTAGAGAACAACATAACCATGACAAAAGCACCTGGAATTAATACCACCTAAACTGGAAGTAAATATGAGTTAATGGTAAAATATGGGCTCATACATACTATATGATAAGGCAGAATTTAACAGCTATGGTTCCCTCATAAAATGAACTTACCTGAATACTAATAAATACATAAGGAGTATATGTTGTAATGCAGTTTACGTGTATTTTTAACAAAAGCAAAAAAAATACATAGATTATTAGACCGCAAGGTATAAACGTGTTAACGTGAAGAACGTCTGGGGAGGGAAACCCCCCAACAAACCAACCAAACCCTTCAGCTCTGTGGTGACTCTTCACAGGCTCAAAACTCCAACAGCAAAGCCCAGCCACACCAGTTTAAGCCATTGCCTTTCACAGGTACCTGTGACACCTATCAGGAAATCCCAGTAATTCCATGATGACTCTTATAAAACCAAGGACATCATACAGTGATCCTGCTCTCTTCCTCTTTCCTGGTCTTCTGAATCACCAAGAATTAAGATTTATGGCCAGTGCCCTGCTTTGCACCTTTTGTCAGTTTATATTGGCATATTTGTATGGGTTTACGTTGTGTTTTTTAACTTAATGGCAGACAGCATGGACAGTTAAAAAGGTTTTTCTTCTGGGCATGGCTAAACTACGGTTATGTGGAAAATAATTTTGTCTGACCAAAGGAGGAAAGTCCTACCCATCCAACACAACAGTGGTATTAAACTCAAGTGACAGAATGAATAAGCAAGGTTTTTAGCAGAAATTACAGGGAGAAATAAGAGATTTAAAATATAAAAACATCCAAGTTCTCGATCCTCACACAGCGGAAGAGGTTCAAAATATGTTTTGAACGGGAAAACCAGGTGTGTTGCTTTCCTGCAAAACTAAACAATGTCCTGTCCTTTGCACATAAGGAAATGGTAAAGGCTTCAAGCACAGTCATCCTGTTACTTAAAAACCTCTTTTAAAGCCACACAGATGAGTAACTCATGCTTGACTCAACATTGCTATCCTCTCCAAACTCTTTTACACAAAGCTTACCAAGGTCAACTTGTGTTCACCTGAACACAACATACTGCAATTCTGTCTCTAGCTATCAAGGCAGAAACATTTTGTACTGTCTTCACATCAAGATATTTAAAAATCCTTAATAACTGTGTCTAAGTAAAGATCCTGAGATTTGTGTGAAAAAGGAAACCGAAACACCCACCCAGAACTGTGTACTCTTTGGGTTCACATGGCTCAGTATATACATACTGAGCTTAAGAAAACAGAGAAATAAGTGTTTATGTAAGAGAGGACTGAAAATCTACAGGCAAAACCAGGCTGCTACAGTGAAATCTGCATTTGCCTTTGGAAGAGAGAATGCACTATGTGACCTCTGCAGGCACCTTGCAATCCTGCTTAAATTAATTAATCACAGATTAAATACTGCGCTTCTTTAACCAAGCACTACAGTAATACTGAGTTCATGATGGAGGAACACCTCCTCCTCCCATGTATGAGTGTCACTCCCTACAGTGTTATGGAAAACATGTTTCATTCATACCTGTCAATTAGAGGTATTCAAGGAACATCTGAAATCCTCACATTCCCACTTACATTAGCACAGAAGCTGCTTCTGTAGGGTCTCTGCAGTGTTTTAAGAAACATCATCTCCTGTAACTACTGCAAACAATTCCAGCAACTTTTGTAAAGTAGTAAAGGATCCTAATTTTAATAATATGGACTCAAGTTCTTACTCCAGGTATTTCTAAACTTTTCTTTATATTCTACACCACACAACTCTTGCCCTGGATGTGCCTGCACAGAACACGTGCACTTACTGCTCTTTTGAGTAGGTAATCAGGTTCATAAAAGTCAAGAACAAAGAGAAGTTTTGTTCTGTGATGACTGCAACACACACACAACACATAGCTTACTACCTCCTGTAACCACTATGTGGCCAGCAGAACCTTCTCCCTTCTTTCTCCAGGTACATACACACATTTCATTTCACCAAGACTACAATCAATCAAATAACTTTGTCTATCAATAAACAGATCTGTAAGTTTTTGCTTGGAAGCCTGTTGTAAAAACAAAAGCAAAAACCACCACATGACCCCCAAAACAATACAGTGAATTTAATTTCAAACAGGAAACACTTATCACTATACCTCTTCAATGCCAGCAATGTTATTTACTGCCAGTTTTTTGAGGGAACTCTGAAGTTTTTTGTCATCAGCTGTAGCTGTTCTGTGCACCACCTTCTTCTTTCTGCGAGCTGTTCCCTGGGAAACAATCAAGAGACAACAGTCAGCTATGCTCAAAATTTCTCAACACTAATTGTGAAAGTCCTACCACAGTCTGAGCAACATCTTCCAAGTTATGAGATGCCTCTATAGTCCTATTTCCCTTTACCTACAGCTTTAGCCATCAGTCTCAATTTTAAGGTTTTTCTTAAATGTACAGGACCAAAAGACACCAAATAGCAGCAGTATTTTCCCTTCCTACAAGCCAGAGTACAAAGATACTATTTACTACTGAGCAAAATATAAGAAATTTTCCCCAAGGACTCTATTTTTTCCAGGATGAAGCACAAATACAGTGATTTAACAGCAATTTTGGAATTTCTACTTTGCAAAATTCTGTGGAAGTTTGGCAGGGGATGAGGCCCCCGCACTGAACAAACTCCATGCCTTTTTTTTTTGGTCAGATTAACTACCTGCTGGCTCAGAGAAAAACAAAGCTCAATGCAGAGTTAGTGCCTGGAGCGGACATTGAAAATCCCCAACAGGAAGAAGGAAAAGGCAGAACTGGAACACCCAACAGGTGAGCTCTGCTGGAGCTTCCACAGGTCACAACAAGTCACTGAATTAACAGAACTCTTACACCCTGGAAACTGCTAATCTAGCAGTTGGGAACTGAAAGAAACTTGCATTTCAGGTAGAAGCACCATGATACAGATCACACAAAAAACATATCTGTCAAGTCTCAGAAATACAGTTTTTCCCCTTCTGTAACTATAGTCTATGTTTTGAAAAGCATCTCTGGTGGGTTTCTTACCTTTCCTCCTATTCGGACCTGTGCTTGAAGCTTGGCCAGTTTTTCTTGGTTCATAGTGATGTGTCTGAAAAATAACAAGAAAATACAAAACCCAAGTTAACAATCAAAATAGTAAGAAAAAAAAAAAGTCACAGTCCATTTTCAAAGCACTCCTAAGACTGCGGTGGGTTTTCGAAACTTACAGAACACTACCCAAAACACTGCGTCCAACAAAAACACAAAAACAAAGCTTTAAAACCTAAATAATCTGAAGTGGTCCTGTAGTAGGCCATTTAGCTGAAGTGCCTATGACACAATAAGGCAAATCAACAAGACACTTCATTCCGCATCAGTAAATTCCCAGTGTGCCAATTTACTTTTGGAAGCACTGAACTGAACTCAAACCAGACCCAAACCAGCACAACTGCTTCTGGGAAACACCCTTATCTTTAAGAGAGCCCAGGGAGAGATTCATCACTAAACTACTTCGAATACTACTTCCATATAATGAATCTCTGATACTTGTAACTAAAATAAGTGAGCTCTGAACCCCGTGAGTTCAGATCTGTACGGATTTCCCATAGGAACCTCTGGAAGCCCTGCATCCCATTCAATGACTGGGAAGCCAGTCCAGTGGCTTCTTCCACGGGTCAAGTGGGACCTTTAAAGGCTGAAAGCCCTGAAAAAAACCCCGTAATGGGTGGGAAAACACCTCCAGCCTTCCAGCACAAGGAACGCGTTCCGCTGCTGTGCCCCAGCAAGCGATCAGAGATCCCGGGAATGACGGGGAAGCCCCCTCCGCGTGTGCTTTGTGCCGGAGAGAGGGAGCAGCACCGGCGGGAGAAGAGGCTCGGGGCGGCTCGCCGGGCACCCCCTGAGCACGGGGAGCGAGAGGGGCTCAATGCTGATCCCTCAGCAGCCTGTATGGCCGGGGCCTCCCGAGCCGGGGCAGCCCCCGCATATCGTCCCGCGGCAGGGCCTCGCTCCCTTGGCGTCTCCTCGGGGAACGGCCCAGCGCGGCGGGCGGGAACAGGACCGAGTCCCCCGCCCCAGGCCACCGGGGGCACGGTACCGGCGGGCCGCCGGGACGCGGGAGCAGCAAGACCCCTCACCTGAGCGCGGCGGAGCCCCCGCGGCCAACACGCGGCGAGAACAAGATGGCGGCCGGGAAAGGAAAGAGAGGCGCACAGAGAAAGGAAGCTCCCCTCACGTGACGGCGCCGGCCCGCCCCCCGATTGGCGGAGCCGCCCAGTCTTATTTGCATAGAGGCGGGAGAGGGGGGCGAGCGGGACCTTCTGGGAGTTGTAGTCTCTGGGTGGGGGGGACAGACACCCGGTGCCCCGGGGCAGGGAATGGCGGCCTGGGGTAATAACCAGTGTCCTGGGGCAGGGAGCGGTGTCCCGCTGTAGTCTCGGGTGCCACCGGTCAGGCAGTGGTGGCTGGTGACCCAAACCCGAGGCGCGGCGGCTCCAAAGGCGTCACCACGTGCTCCACTGTCCCCCTTAGCGAATCCTCCTTCACGCACAGTGCTTTGCGGTCGGTTCTGCCTTCCCGACAGCTGGGCAATTCCGGAGAGCAGCGCGACAAAAGCGTTTATTTTGGAAAGGAGAAAATAAACCCGGATCCCCATATACACACACCCCTCCCGCTGTCTGCTCCCCCCGGGATAACCCTGGGCTTGTCCAGGGGCAGTAACGCAGGTGACTCGCACCCCACAGCATCCCCTCCCGCTGGGTGCCACCCCTGGCACCCCCCAGCCGAGCGGCGAGGGCTGCGCACCGCCCACATCCGCCTCATGTCACTTCCTGGGCTTTAAAAAAACGGGAAAAAAAAAAGAGGAAAGAAAAAAAATAAAATCCGCCTGAGCGGGTCCTGTGCTGTGCGGAGCTGTGGGGCTGTACCCGGTGCCGCCGCTGCCCGCGCCGACACCATGAAGGCTCAGCCCGTGGCCGTCTCCGTCCTCTGCCTGTGCCTGGTGCTGGCGGCCTCCGCCGCCTCCGCCGAGGGAGGGCTCGGAAAGGGTCAGGAAAACGCTTCCTTCGGGCTTTCCTCAACTCGTGTCCCGGCCGCGGGCGCGGGTCCGGTCCCTCAGCCCGCGGCGTCGGGGGGCGGGGGGACAGAGCGCGGGTCTGGGGGCTGGAGGTGAGGGGGGGTTGAACCGTCCCCGCCGTCGTGGTTCTGTCCCGGCTGAGCGTCCTTCCGAGGGGCTCCGCGGAGCCCTGCGGGGCAGCCCTCGATGCCCGCTGTGCCCGCCCAGCCCCCGCCGGCTCCTGGCAGGCAATGAATGGCGCTTCCCTCCGCCCTCGGCTTCCCTTGCCCTCGATGACCGCTCCTCACTCCTCTCTTGGCTCACCGAGGCTCCTTGACTAATTACCGTGTCTAATAGCCGCGTTTAGCCAGCGCCTGAGCTTCACCCCAGGTGGTGGCTTTGCCTTAGAGGCAAATCTCCTCCTCAGGACCGGTAGTAACCAATTCGATCAATGACAGCAAAGCTCTGTGGTGTGGATCCCAGCCAGCCATCCTCCTTTAATTCCCCAGATGACTTTCATTCAAAAGAAACGCTCCGTAGTGTGTTGTGTAATTGTTTTAAGAACATACTGAAGCTTGCCACAAATGGGATTTTGGTTTAAGTATAGAAAAGCTTTCAAAAAGTGTTTCCAAGCTAGAACAATAAAAGGCTTTCCCTATTTTAACATTTTGGCCTTTGACTGAAATAGCTGACGTGTCAATATGCTGGATAAACATGACTTCTGCTAATCCAACTGGCTTTTGCTTGGGTACGTTGAGCTTGTCCAAAAGTAGCCCTGTGTCCAAAGCTGCCTGAGCAGCTGGGGTGTGATTGGACGTGGACAGGGCATCCCCACCTCACCGTGAGCTCATCTGTTTGATGTGTTGCATCATATGTGTTCACAGTGGTTCATATCAGGAGAGAAGATCAGGTAGTACGCTGTGCCAACTGTCCACACCTCCCGGATACTGAATTAAGGTGCCATGAGGATTTAGGCTTTCTCCAGCTTCTTTGCCATAGTTGTCTACAATGTCCACTTTTCCCTGTGTCAGCACTGGACAGTCTGGGGCTCTGACCTCTGCGTAGCTCCCGAAATCTGCTCCCCTCAGCACCCTGGGGGTTGCTGACTAATCCAAACCCTCAGCGATGGGAAGGGGCAAGCCAAGGCTGATGTTTGATCATCCAGTGCACTAATTGTTAATTACTGGAGCCATAAGACCTCTGAGGAGGTCTTCCAAGGGTGTTCCTCTTCAAACAGTTCCCGGATCTCCTTCATCTCAGTTCTCCAGGTGGCTTTTGGCCATGTGCTTTGTTGGCTACGAAAAAAATCCCAACCCTGGCAGTCCCTGCTTTGCAGCTGTTAAACATACACTGACTCACTCTTGTGTCAATTGACACAAGACGACTTGTTATCTGGATATGGGATAAAATATTTCCTGCGCCATTCACTCACTCTAACATTCAGAAATCTGTGTAGTGGTGTTCTTTCTTACTCTTCAATTATCATCAGCAGTAATAATTAGCATAATAGTTTTAGAGCAATTAATGATCATATGTTGGCCTAGGAATTTTTAAGTTTTGCTTTAGTTCACATTCAGTGGGATTTAGGAAGCCAAATGCTGACATGTTTAATTTGTCACTCATCAGTTAATAAATGTTCATAGATTGAAGAATAATGGAGAATAATCAGAAGGCCCTTCAATTTTAATATTCGTTTGGGGGATTTTTATGTCGTTTGCATATAGATATAAATATTCATTAGGATGGTATGTTTTTGTTAATTAATTTCAGTGGGATTCCTCATACGACTATGTGGGTTGTAAGTATTTGCAGAAGTCTTTCCAGAACTGGGATTGTAGTTGGCTTTAAAAAAAAGAATATAAAATAAGTTGAAAATACTCTTGAGGGTTGCACTGTTTTCCTCTGTTAGCTGACACGCTAAATTATGCAGCATTTATAAACCCTTCTCTCTGGCAGGTTTTGGAGATCATATTCATTGGAGAACACTAGAAGATGGGAAGAAAGAGGCAGCAGCCAGGTATGTTTGCTAGTTTTAAATACAGAAAAGTGTCTTTAAAAGCATTCACAAAGGTTCTGTATCAATCCTAAATTTAACCACAGAAGAGTCATTATTAACAAAAATGAAGATGGTTTAGGAGACTTCAGATCCCTACAGCTTATTAGAGAGAAAATACAGAGTTTTGATATCTTTGCTGAGGCGCCACCTAGGTTTAATCACTGCAGTCTAATTAAATCATTGAAGCCCTACCATGTCTTTGAAATGAGAAGAAAATAATTTTTTCCCACAGTAAAGAAAGGTATGGTTCTCAAACCCACAAATGAATGTGTAAAGAGTGCTCAATCCCCTTGAACTCAGCAGTGCTGAGAGCTTCCCTAAAATTCCTTATGCCTGTATAGATGAGGCCTCAGCCTGAGATAAGTTATTTTGTTCCAATCTGCAGGAAAAAGTCTGGAAGTTTCAAATTAGTGAACTGATAGAACCTGACTTGGTTAAGTTTAAAGTCTAACAGTCTCTTAGAAGGTAAAAAATTATTTTTTGACACATTATTTTCCTCAGAATTTCTTCTGTTTCTTGTTAAAATGTGAGAAAGGAAATGGTATGCTTATAAATTCTACTTGTATTTTAAATTTATAACCTAAATCTGACAATGCTGACAGGAGCAGAAATTCCTCATGCCTTCCAGGTTTGCTGTTTGAGTTCAGCTCTCAAACTGATCCATCGTTTTAGTGTAGATACCAAATTAACCCAGACGATACAGTTCAGAGGTCTTACAAGTTTCTATAATTGGATATTTTTGAAAAAAAAATATTATTTCAGTATTTACAGGTGTAGTTGTAGCACTGCTTTGCAATGAAGCAGAAGAAGCTTCAAAATGAGACAGGGGAGGGCGGGAGGCATGGTGAGCTGTGAGCTCTCAGGTTGAGGCAGGATGAGCATTCCTGCTCAAGGAGACTCTGCAGGAAGGGGTCGGTGTAATCCACACCCTCTCCTTTCACTGTTGGAAGCACAGACCCTTTCACTGTTTTGAGTTCAGCAGCATTTGAGCATTACTGAAGGACTGGGAGAAACCACTAATAACAAAGAAAATATAAACCTAAAAAGTAGATTTGTTTTCCTAAGTCTGACCTTAGGTCAGGAGGAGATGAAAAATAATACGAAAATTATACGAAATTAACTGTGGCACATCAAGTGAGATCCAGCAGAGCCAGTGAGCTGGGAAGTTTCAAGATTTCAATTTGAATTTTATAAACTGCGCAGCGTGGATGTGTCGGGGGATGCTGAAGACGTCTCGTTTTTAAGTTCCGTGCGGACGAGGGCAGGGATCAAGCGTTCCTACAGTTAGTACGGTCGCGTTTCTAAGCCGCATGTCTGCCAGGACGGTGTCCGGGTGCCAGAGGCGGGGGCCCGGCGGTTCCGCATGCCCGAAGGGGCAGAGAAGCCCGCCCGGCGGTGCCGCCCCCCGGGGCCGGGGGGTGCTGGCGGTCGCGGGCGGGCCGTGTGTGGGTGTGTGTGACCGGCGGAAGCAGTTCCCGCCCGTCCGGGTCGGTGCCGGCGGGGCGATGCCGCTGGTGGTGCTGTGCGGGCGGCCCGGCAGCGGCAAGAGCCGGCGGGCGGCGGAGCTGCGGGCGGCGCTGGGCGGCCCCGAGCGGGCCGCGCACGTCGTGTCCGAGGCGGAGGGCGGGCGGGCGGCGCTGCGGGCCGAGGTGGAGCGGCGGCTGAGCCGGCGGGACGTGGTGATCGTGGACGCGGGCAACGAGCTGCGGAGCATCCGCTACGAGCTGTACTGCGCGGCGCGGCAGGCGGGCACGGCGCGCTGCCTCCTGCACTGCGCCGGCGGCGGGGGCGGCCCCGACGAGCCGCCCTTCGAGGAGCCCGACCCGGGCTGCCGCTGGGACCGGCCGCTGTTCACGGTGAGCGGGGAGGAGCCGCTGCCGCTGGGCGACATCCGCGCCGCGCTGTTCGAGAGCGCCCCGCCGCCCCCGCACCGCGCCACCCGCGCCCAGCCCCTGCAGTCCGGGGAGTTCCTGCACCGCCTGGACCGCGTCACCCAGGACGTGCTGGCCGCAGTGATGGCCGCGCAGAGCGGCGGGGCGCTGCCCGGGGACACGGTCCGCGTCCCCGGCCTGGCCGAGGGGCTGGTGCTGAGCCGGCCCGTGAGCCTGGCCGAGCTGAGCCGGCTGCGCAGGCAGTTCATCAGCTACACCAAGATGCAGCCCAGCGATGAGAACATGCCCCAGCTGGCCAGCATGTTCCTGCAGTACCTGAGCCGCAGCATTCAGTGAACCAGGGGCAGTGGCCGTGGTTGTCGAAGTACTTGCGACAGTAGGAACACACCTTCTAGACGCAGACCCCGCAGAGCCTGGATCCCACCTGTCGTGTATCGGATATTTGGCAGCAGCAGCTCTGGGTGCCGTGTTCCCGCAGCAGCCAAGCAGACTATTTCTGAGAGAATCTGTAGGGATACAGTTCCCCACACCCCTGAATTCTCCCCATCAAAAAGGAGAGCAGCTGTTGCATCCCCAAGCAAGTGAAGTCTCCTGCGGAGACATAAACCCCAGTAATATAGTGGTGTCTGAGCATGAAAGCGCAAAAGGTGATGACTGTATGTCTTGAATAAGAAGATTGTTTTTCCAGGGCTGCCTCCAGATAATGTCAAACTGCAGAAGAGACTTCAGGTCCAGAACTAGAACAGGATGTGACTGTTTCAAAAAATCTGACTGAACCCAAGAGAGATTTGCAGCTCTACACTGCAAAAGGGTGCTGTCTTAGCAAAGTTAGCAAAGAGGTTTAACAATAAAATGTGTGCCTTAAATGGACTAAACTCTTAATTTATCTGCAGGACTGTTTTATTGAAATAACTCGCCGTGTCTTTTCTCTGCAAGGTCATCATTAAACACCTTTAAAAACACTAATTACTTAAGAATGAGTTATAGGAAAAACAAGCTAAAATGACAGTGTCCTTGTTGAAACCCGTAGGTCTATACCAGCTGGGATGGGTAGCTTAGTTTTGCATTTAGTTTCCAATAATTTGGGGTTTGTGATACAATAGATACAGTTCATATAAACTTCTCACTTTCTGGTGGATGCTTCATCCCTCATTCTCATAAATTGTTGTTTTGGTTTAATTGTATGTGTAGTGCTCCCTGGGAGGAAAAAGTACAGTCTGACACACCGACTGCTGGGGGATTTATGCATTACAGAACTGAGAATTGACTACAAAAATGTTTTGATGTAAATAAGTTTATCTTACCAGTCAAAGTAAAGAGAATAAAGCTGAGAAAACAAATTCATTATTTCAAACCTCTGTGAGTTCTCACTAAGAATTGGTATTTCAAGGCTGTGAGCACTTAAATTTAAAATCTGCTTTGAAAATTTCTCTTTAAAAAAAAGCGTGTTGCAGTACCGATTGCCAGATGATTGAACTCTTTTGACATGAACCACTGGTCCTTGATAAGAACAATGTGTATTTTCCAGACGTAAATCAGCCTGTCCTCAAGAAAGAGGCAAAACAATTTGGGACTCTGTAGAAACAATGAAGAAAAAAGTGGTTTTTCATCCTCAGGGACACTGGATGCAATGCAAGCTCTACTAGGGCAATGTGTATTCAAACTCCTTACTGCAAACAGAGCCCAATGTGAAGGTGATGACATACTGGTTAATTATAAAGCGCCAACTTCTCTTTGAATGACTCTAAATGTTAATGCCTTCCTCTCTAATGCTGCTAAGTAGAGATTGCCTTTCATATCTGTTTACAGCTAAAGGGTTACTGGGTTCAATGGTTGCTCAGTGGGGTCTTGATCACAGGAGGTGACTGAAACATGTGGGCTGTAATGGGGAGGAGGATGGATAGGTGACTGTCATCCACTGGGTTGCCATAAGCAGCCACAAAAATCCATCCCGAGATCTCTCAAGCAGCTGGTGTCACTAACCATTTCCAGTAATCCAGTAAAAAAATGCATGACCAGCTGTGTGTGTGAGGAATCTAAACTAATAAGAGCAAGTCTTCCAAAGACAAAGTCTCCTCTATGTGAGCAGTTACAATAAAGTATTTTATGACATGTTTTAAGACTGGGAAAACTTTTTGCGAGCCAAGCTTAGAACACAGCAGAATCTCTTTACATCTCACTTATTTTCTGTTACATTGAGCCTTTGAGGAAGCCCTGATTGTTAAAATGTACACATAACAGAATTTGGTTTAGAGGCTTTCTGGAAGCTTTCTTTGACAGTTTTTTTTCTTCCTTTTTTTAGTGGTTTGCCTCTTATGGTTATCATCCACAAGTCCTGGTGTGGAGCTTGCAAAGGTAAGTGTATTTAATACTAGAGCTTGCTGAAATTTCTAATGAATCTTGGTATGCAAATCACGTAGCCATGAGAAACATGAACTTTGCATTCAGACTGTAGCTAATGGTAACTGTTTCATTAGGAGAAGCATAATATGGCACTGCCATTGCAAACAAACAAGCTGGGGGTCATGGCTAAGCTTAAAGGATGAGGCAGTTGAGTGGGAATACTGTTTTATAGCAGGCTTTCTGCTCTGTTCCACTGTTTCATATGCAGCCATGTATGTTTGTTGTCAGGCTTCATCCCATGGCTGCCCAGCAAGAATTGCTTCAGTCACCTGCTGCTCTTAGCCCAGCTTTGAATAGTTTGATATATACATTCCATTTACTTGCTGCTTATTGAAAAGCTTTCCAGAGGGAGGGGTGGAGATTTTGATACTGCTTGAAAATCTGAAATATTTTCCACTGTTTTTACATACGTCTTTATTTTTATTCCCCCCCCCCTTAATTAGCTTTAAAGCCAAAGTTTGCTGAATCCAAGGAGATCTCTGAACTTGCCCATAATTTTGTTATGGTCAACCTTGAGGTAGGCTGCCTTCTGATTTGTGTCCATGTTACTGCCTGGTAATTAAGCATTTGGAATCCGACTTTACTGGTTACATCCTGTTTGGTGTACATCCTAAATCCTGCACTCCTGAATAGGCATTCAGGATTGATTGATACAGCTCATTGTTTTAAAAAGAGTTTTCTTCAGTCTGTTTATTTTAATTCTGTTTATAAACCTGGCTCTCTGCCACTGTCTCTTTAAGAGTTTGTGCCTTGTGTGATTCTGTTGCTGCAATAAAGGAATTTATGTTTATTCTCTCATTACCTGTCAAACATTCCTACACCAAAGTGGAGTGTGTAATGCAAATTAACAGGACAAAATATTATTATTTTCACAGAGGATACTTGTTTAGGTAAAAATAACTTACTTTCATTGAGAGTGGAAGATCCTGCAATTACTTGGCATCTGTTCAAGATGTAAATTGCTCAGGGTAGCAGGAATCTGAAGGCAATAAGTTGTTTCTTAAAAAAGCAGTGTTGTGTTAGATATCTTGCTAATCCATTCCTTCTCCATTCCTGTCTTGCTTTGGTAGGATGACGAAGAGCCCAAGGATGAAGCCTTTAGTCCTGATGGAAGTTATATCCCCAGAATCCTTTTCATGGGTAAGGCATCCGCAGCTCTTGTGTCCACTCACAGGACTGGGTTCTTATTGTTACCACCTAAACTTCCTGATGGATTTCTTGTTTCATAGATCCCAGTGGAAAAGTCCATCCAGAAATCATAAATGAGAGAGGAAACCCCAGCTACAAGTATTTCTATACCAATGCTGATCAAGGTACGTGCAAAGTAGTTGAAACTGCATTTTTAGTGAGGACACACCTTCACTGTTTAGTGAAGAAAAATGATGGTACTTTACAGCATAACTGGGAGCTGTTAGGTACAGTGTGAGTGAGTGGTTCTCCAACGCCTGAGGAACCATATTCAGAATTGTGATTCACCTTAAGACATACTGTTATGTCTGTAGGACCTAAACTTTGTCTCCAGTTGTGGCATGGAAAATTGTGGAATTTGCATGATCCAGCTACACATAGGTGAGGAAATGGTGCAGGACTGGAGGGGTTTTTTTGTTTGGTGGTGCTTTTTTTTTTTCCCCCACAGGTTAATTTGTAGATATACATTCTATAACTGTTGTTTTAAAATAACTTTCATTACCAGTCCACCTTGATGTTTGCATCATGAGATTAATAGTTGGTCTCTCTCTTATCTAATCTTTCAGTTGTCCAGGGGATGAAGGAGGCCCAGGAGAAGCTGACAGGTGATGCTTTCAAACAAAAGCACCTGGGAGATGAACTATAATGGATATGCTAAATGATGATTTTTCACTGCTTCAAAACTCTAAAAGGAAACGATTGAACAGACTGAGAATGTAGTTGCACTGAAGGGACATAATTCTCCTGTCAACAGTGTTAGGGTAAACCCTTTTTGGAGTTCACACACATGCATCAGTCACAGTGTTTTCTCCTCCTGCCTGGAAGTTTGCACTGTGATGATTATTTGCAACTAGGTAATGTGCAAACACATCCCGTTGTGTGTTTGAGCAACCACTAATATTTGGTGTTAAAAGGGAGGTGTGTAGGGAAGAATATTATTTGAGGACAAACAGTGTGATTGAAAAAACTAGTAGCAGCCAACATTTTGACACCTAATCAGGGTTGAATTCCTCTTTTCTCACTGGTATTATGTGATCCCATTGTTTTTACTGGGCATTGCCATCAATGGGGCATCTTCCTAGGCCAGGTATTTTCTAGATATCCCAAAACACGAATTCTGCCAGTAACCCAGTAGAATACATTTCATGAATGTCCAAGTAGCATGTGAAATTATCAGCTCTGCAAATGTAGTTTTGTGTAAAACTGTGTGATTCACTTTTATTTGCCTTTGGGCAGAAAATTAACTTTTTCCTTATGCACTCACCTTTTGATTGTTCCATCAAGTGAGGGTGGGTTATGTTGAAGCTTTACGGGGTTTCCCCTTTTATTCTTTGAATGTTTTTTGGCCAATGCCTTGCCATCACATTGTACTGTATTTTTGTACCAGGGTGAAAAAAAAAATAAACCTTTTTAAACATAAGCATGCAGAGAGTGTTTTGTGGTAAATGGCATAACTTTCTGTTCTTAAGCAGAGGGGGATATATTTTTGTTTATATTGCAGTGGTTATTAATGTTGAATGTCTCAGCTGAAGAAGATTCCTCGTCATTACAATTCAGCCATTCTTACACTGCCTATACTGTCAAGGACAAGGTGATACCTCATGTTTATCTACTGGAACTGAAAAGGAAAATGGAAAGGAGAAAAATCACCTCTCAACCTGCTGGGGACACTTTTTCTGAGGCAGCCCAGGATGCTTCTTTGCCACATGGGCATATTGTTGGCTCATGGTCAGCTTGTTCTCCACCTGGAGTCCCATATTCTCATCTGGAAAGCTGTTTTCCAGACTCTACTGGTGCACAGGTTGTTCCTTCCCAGGTGAAGGACTTTGCATTTCCCTTTCTTCAACTTCCTGACAACCCTCCCTGCCCATTTCTCCAGCCTGTTCAGATCCTTTTGAATAGCAACACAACCATCTGGTTATCAACCACTCTTCCCCAGCTTTGTATCATTGCCAGTTTGCTCAGAGTGGGCTCTGTCAGTTCATCCAGGTAGTTAATGAAGGTGTTACAGTACCAGCCAGGGGTACTCCACTAATGACGAGCCCCTTTCAGCCCAGCAGTTCTGCCAGTTTTCCATCCACTTCACTGCCCATTTATTTAGGTTGTACTTCATCAGTTTGTCTATGAAGATGCTTTGGGAGACAGTGTAGAAAGCCATAGTAAGGCCAAAATAAACTACATCTGCTGCTCTCCCCTCATCCACCAAATTAGTCATCTAAAGCAAAAATTCCTGTCCCAAAGGCACTTGCCATAACTTCCCATAAAAACCACAGAGAGATCATTTTCTACAGATACTTTCTGAAGAACTATCTGTGGACATTAAGTGGGGAAAACTGTTGTATATACAATAAACCCAACTTGTCTACTGAGTCCATTATTACTGTTCAGTAGCATTAAGAATTTTACTTTGCATACCAGTCTGTCTGGTGTCTGATTTTAGACACCAAAACTCAATTGGCCACTAAAAGAGAAGGACTCAGTGGAAATAATGGGATTGTTGCACATCACAATTACCCTGATCAGCTGCTGAAAGTTATTCTACAGGCTTTATCCTCTGCTTCTCTTGCAAATTGTCTAATAAATTAATGATCAAATTGAACTCAGTAACTATTCTCAAGTTGTATTAGCCTTCAAAGTAAACCTATGTAAGTCCTAAAAAAAGGATCTGCGTTTTGCAAAATTGTCTTCTTTTTTCCCTCCAGCTTTATCAGTTGACCTAATAAAAAATTGGTCCTATCTGATGCTCATTTCATTTATAGCCTT